GGCGCCGGCCCCGGCGGCCGCGGCTGCCGCTGCTGCTGCGTGCGGCAGGGACGTCACCCACTGGTGGGCATGGCTCAGCATGTGTCCTCCGTTGCTCGCTGCCATTGCGCCTTGCATAAAGTCACTCTGTACCATCTTAACTGAGGTGTCTCCCCTGTAGCCCCCAGACCCTGAGGTGACCGTAGCACTTCCCGGCTGCATGCCAACACCTCCAGATTCAGAATGCACGATGGAGCCGGACGATAAGATGCTATTGTTGGACAGATAAGGATTGGAAGCCGCAGTGGCCATTCCGTCAACCCTTATGAATATGTTTGTGGATATATCCCCCTCCCTTTCTATAGTCACCTATTTCGAGCGGGTAAATTGTATCTCATGAATTATTCAAACTTAAAAGTACGGGTAGGTGTTAAGCAAACACCACTGGCGTGTGTAAAAACGCCAAAAAACGCTTCAAAAGCGGCCACAAAATTTGAATAAAATCCGCATGTCTTTACAACAAACAACTTCAACGGACAAAAACTCAAAAAATCCAAGTTTTTCATAAGCCCTTTGAAACCATGTGCAGTCTGCACGGAAAGTTTTGCTACGAGAAGACTTTAAAAAAAAATTCAAATTCAAAAATAAAAGGAAGGATAAACCGGGAGAGTCGTCCCAAACAAACTTCAGAAGCAAAAACAAAAGGCTTCGCAAATTGTCCAGCAAGTACAAAGTCCGGGACAACGTTCCCTTTGGATGCAAAAATCATTAGCAGTGTGTCCTTATTCTTTTGTAATTCAGCTGCTTCTCTTCTCCTCTTTTTTTCCCTAATAGCGTTGTGGAGCGTCTCTCTTTGTTCTGTTTTGATGTAAATTAACCTGCCAAACCGCAAACTCCCGTTCAAGTACTGTCCAATATTACGGTGCACGGCGCGGCTCACAAGAGTCTTTTCTCATTCGCTTGTTCTCTCTCTCCACCTTTCTCTCTCCATCTCCCTCTCTCTGACAGGCAGGGAAGTCCCGCCCCACTCGACCCCCACCGCCACCTCCACATCCTCCCCCTTTCAACCAGGACAACGCGCGAATGTTTACCCCTCTTGCGTCCTCGCTGATTGGTCACCGGACTTGTGATTGACAGGTCTCGCCATGCTCGCTTCAGGCGCTGGAGTCCTCCTTCTGGCTATTCGGATGAGTTTATTTTTAATTGCAAGTCCAAACAAACGGGGGAAGACAACGTGGTGGTAAACAGAAAAGCCGTGCACTGGTGGGCTGCACAAACACGGCTGACAGAGTAAACTAAAGTGGCGACTTCCGTTCTGATATAATCATGTGCCAAACAGTCAACCATGACACTGTCAGCTCAGTGCGAAAAGGGCCTTCATAACGTACAATAACGGTCCTATGAATGAACGTAATTCGTACTGATTCACGTCTAGTACTTTCTACAAACTATTATGAGTTGCCGTTATACTGACCACGTCAAAAAATAATTATAGAACCTTTTCTTACTCGTTTTAATTCTGTTAAATCCTACTTGAGAGATAAAGTATGCAAAAAGTTATTAGGGGTTAGTCATTAAAAATAGGAAAATACCAAATATATATTTTTAAAATTAAATCCCATAACAGTATTAGATGGACATTAAATATAGACACATGTTAGAATCTTTGGCCCAGCACTGAAATTCAAAACTGCACAGACACACACGCACACATAGCACGCACAACTTCACCACAGGAAGTGGCAACCAGAGGGGGAAGACGGAGCCGTCATTTGTCGGAGCCGTCAAATGTCTGCTTATAGAAGGTATAAGAAACGAATACATTCACACTGACGTTCAGCAGCAGCAGCAGCAGCAGCCTTCAAACAGCCACGGAAACCCAGAGGAGAGTGGGGCCAGAGTGGCGTTTTTTGCGTGCAACTATAAATGGTAACAAGTGCCCAAATACCAGTACCCCACGGACCGCCTTACTTTGGTCCAGGGTCTTCACAGTCTGTCACACAACTGTCATGTGACCAGAAGAAAAGTCCACTCTGACAGGGACATAGTTTATATAGGCCAGAACTGAATGTGACATTAAGTATTAAATATTTTAAATACATATTGTAAAATCTCCTTGAGGAAGGAGAACGTTCTCTTACTTTCTCTTACTGTCCCTGTATATTTTTCCTCCTTCCTTTAGATTTGATTTGAACAGGGTTCGAGACCAAGAGAGACTCGTAGACTTGTTTACAGTGATTCGACAGGCTCGGGGCCAGTGTCGCTAGGCCTCTATTCATTGATATACAGTGAGGATTTCTGTCTAAATGACTGCTGTTCAGTCCCCCCCCCTAACACACACCATAAAAATATTAAATATAAATAAGCTTATAAAGGACGTGCAAAAACAACTTACAGAAAGGTCCCGAAACTGTCTTGCGCGGATTTGCTACTCTCTTTTTATGACGTGTTTATTATTTATTTGTTTATTGTAAACAGATCTGCAACTTTCCTGCCTGAGGAGTTAACCTACTTTGTATGCAATAAAGAAGAAAACGGGAAAGGGGGAGAGAGGGGGAAAAAATCGTCCCCAAGTATAAAAAAGAGACGAACAGTTAGTGCTGATTTTCATTTGCATAAATTTTCATATATTTTAGTGAAAATAATAGCGGGAGTCGAGGAGTGCTCCTGCTCAGTTGAGGCAGGAAAGAAAATGGTAGGGAGCACCGAGTCGCCTGGAAAGGGACATAACCACTCACACACCGCACAGGAAAAATGTGAAGGGATTTTTTCCCCATTTGGAAACAAGGTAAGACAACCGTAATCTCCGCGGGTTTTCTTTCCCCCTTCGTCTCTTCAGCACGGCCAACAGGGTCAGAGATTTCTTCCTGCGCATTTTCCCCGCTGTCACAGCCGCTAACGGACGTTTAACTATATAGATATCATATGTGTCTAAATGTTATCCATATTACATATGGAAATTTGCCTATACATTTAAACATATTTACAGCAATCAAACGCTTTCTCGTTTTTACTTTTCATTCGTTAAAAACCCGATGTTTCCTTCCTGTGGCCGCGACCCCTCTCTTTGGCTTTTCATTTCTAGAAGGCTGGCGGATGAATAAGCGTTGCTGTTTTGTCGTGGATGTCCACGGGAGAAAGTGCCATCAATCACATTTTAAGCAGGGAGAGTGAGACAGGGAGGGAGCGAGAGAGGGGGGGAGGGAGTGAGAGAGAGAGAGAGAGAGAGAGAAGGAGGGGTTGCGGGGGGCGATGAAACCTCCTGAGGGATGGCGTTGGCAAGTGCAGAATGAAATAATTTCTCTTACATCGATTCTGCCGCTGCAGAGTTTGTTTAAAGTTTATGGGCAGTAACAGGAGCAGGTTCCCCACGACAGCCGCTGAAGTCTGTCACCCGAGAAAAATTAGTGCTAAAAACAAACAACCAAAATAAATAAATAAATAAATAAAAACTAAACATGACATGATATCAATAAAATGTAAATGTATTTTCTATGACGTTGACATAGCAGACTGATTCAGTTGGAGAGTCCGTGAAGAAGTGTTGTTTTTTTTAAAAAACTTTTTCCACGGGTTAATGTCTTTCCCTTCGTTGGTGGGAAGCGCGTGTCTCGACCGAGCGCTCGGTAGTCATGGTGAGAGCGATAAAAGAAGTGAACATTAGTATTAAGCTGTATGTGGGTGACTGGAGTGGAGACGAAGGGGACTCAGTACCCGGGTCGGCAGCAGCGCGACCACGGCGGTACACGCACAACAAGGCGTCACAGTAACAGCACGGCTTAAAGCGGGAAAACGAAGAAGAAGAAAAGTTTAAACAGACTTTTTTAGGACTTGGGTTGGAGCCAAGCACGTTACAGAAATAGCTGTAAAAACGCACCAACCTTCGGACAACGCGTGGGATGTGGGTTAGTTGAAGGCGAATAAAATTCACGGTGTCATGAATAAATATGAACACGCCACCATCACCAGCAGATGTCGTACTTATTCGTAATACAAATGCTTAAATCATAACGCGCACGTATATATCATAAATCCTAACGCGCACGCGCGGACACACGAACATATATAGGTCTATATATATATTTATTTATTTTATTGTTTGGCCGTGTGTTTGTGGCGTCGAACCTTGTGAATGTGTTAGTTATAAATGCCATGTCAATACATGTGTGATGGTGTGGGCTTATGGTGCATTTACTGGTGCAGTCCCAGACACAGACCCAGAAATGCTGGGATGTTTGGTGATCAGGGTTTCACGGGGCTGGAGTGGGAACATGACTGAATGGGGGCAGATGTCCACGCGCAGGCCTTTAAAAGAAACGCTACGGTGCACGCGCTGAGGCGGCTCATAAACTCTTTAATAAACAGAGAACTGCAAGTAGTTTTTTCCCCTCCAAAATTAGTTGCACTTCAAAATTCCACCACAGAAATAAAGATTACATTAAAAGCTTTGACTGAATCCAGCATCATCCGTCAACACCGTGGTAATTTAATTTAATTTAATTATCAGAGATGCTACCAATATTTAACACGAATTAGAGCCAAACAGACATTGTTGTTATTTAGCATGTGTCAAAATTTAAACGAAAAATAAATAAATAAATGCAGCCCGTGCTTTTTTTCTATTTTTTCTTTTTATAATTCAGTAGACATCTGCAGGAGTCTATAAGCCATAAATCCACAGCAGCAGGTCTTTACAGAAACATATGACTGTGTGAATTATTAGCAAATGAGGGCTGGGCAGGAATTATGAATCATCATGGGAATTACTGTATTACAATTCTTCGGCATGCTTGACCGGCCGTTTAGCTCCACATAAAATCTTCATCCTCCTCCTCATCACTGCTGCAACGACCACCAGCAGTGCAACAGTAAAGCATTAGTGGTGCTTAGGTTTTCTGGAAGCTAAAGGGCATTCACTTACTCCTCCAGGAGCGGACCTACTTATTTGTCAAGATGCCTTCGTGAACCCTTTCTCTGCCAAACATGCCACTACATAAGGTCGTCTTTAAAAAGTAAGAAGAGGGCGTTTGTGTGTTTTTTTTTTTTTTTGGCATCTAAAGAATGGTTTTATTAATGAATGTAGACCTGAATAGTCCCATTTGTGAGAAAACTATACACCCAAATCCAATGACCTCACGTTGTTCTCTCCACTGTCCCTCCTGAAACGTGACTTTAATTCCATGTTCTACAAACATCGTAAATATGGACAGCTGACGTAAAGGTACAGGCTGCACAGTGAAGCCAATATTCAAATGAAACGGAGGCAGTTTCTACCTTTCCTTTAATTACAGCCACACTTAAGTTGCTTATGGGACACGTCATTTATTTCACTCGCCTCGCTCCTGCCACTAATCCGAGACGGCGCACGGTGAGTGTGTGTCACGTCTCGCCCAGCGATGATTTAAAGCAGAATCCAAGTTGGAGCACTTAAATGATGATGTAGCGCTCGCCCTTAATTAAATGGGCTACACTGAATATTAGTGTAAGCATTAAATGTGCATTCAATTTCAGTCACGGATGAGATTTTTTACCCATTTATACCAGACAGAGGCACTTTAATATTATCCCCTGAATAAAGGACGCATAAGAATTATATGCACCCTCTATTAGACGGCATGTGCTTATAGTAATGGGCCTCGATCTGCATGTAGTTTAAATGGACATATGCAGGTAAAGACTATTATTATTATAAAGTCTCAAATGTAGCAGTTCTTTTTCAGCGTGACTCATATCTCTGAGAGAAAACCCTGCAGCCAAGTTCATGTAAATCACCGTGTGCCATGATTAGTCCCATGTTGAAGTGATCGGTTATCAAATACTTATTTACATAAAGAGGCAGTCTTAAATCAATTAAAATTAGTATGTTTTAAATAAATATTGTTTTTAATTCAAAAGTTAATTTAACAACACAAAAGCAACAAAAAGGAGACCACCACAACCACTAATAACAATAATAACACTAATAATATTAATAATAACAACAGTAATGATAATGATCAGAACTGTTATTATTGTGATAGATTTTATATTATTATTATTATTATTATGTCC